CCTGCGTATTAATGCGGATACTAATCTGTAAAACTATTACTTTAAATAATAGGTTGTGACTTAAAAACAAAAAATAATCTCTAATTACTTGCTTTAGAAAAAACAAACTTAACAAAAGTAAAAGTAGTTATTTTGGCTGCGACAAAATTAAAGATGTTTTAGGATTGCTATAGTGTTAAAAAATAGATTTTAAAAACTTATTTAAGACGTCTTCTCTACAAATCCCCCTCTCTCATTCTTCCTCACCACACCACCAACAACAACACAAAACTCTCTCCATTCTCACCATGACCGATCCTCAAAACCAACCTCACCGTCCTGTCCCTGTTCATGTCACAAACTCCGACCAAAACCCAAACAATCTCCCAAACTTTCTCTTATCCGTTCGTCTCAAATATGTTAAACTAGGTTACCATTACCTAATCTCAAACGCTCTCTACATCCTCCTCCTTCCTCTCTTAGCCGCAACAATCGCAAACCTCTCATCTTTCAGACTCAACGACCTTACTCTCTTATACAACCACCTCCGTTTCCATTTCCTCTCCGCTTCAATAGCCACCGCACTCTTAATTTCCCTCTCCACCGCATACTTCACCACCCGACCTCGCCGTGTCTTCCTCCTTGACTTCTCATGCTACAAACCAGACCCTTCATTGATATGTACTCGTGAAACATTCATGGATAGGTCTCAACGTGTAGGTATCTTCACAGAAGATAACCTAGCTTTCCAACAAAAGATTCTTGGAAGATCCGGTCTTGGTCAGAAAACGTACGTCCCTGAAGCTCTTCTACGTGTTCCTCCTAATCCTTGTCTGGAAGAAGCGAGGAAAGAAGCTGAGACGGTTATGTTTGGAGTTATTGATGCTGTTCTTGAGAAAACCGGGATTAAACCGAAGGATATTGGGATACTTGTGGTGAATTGTAGCTTGTTTAATCCAACACCTTCACTTTCTGCTATGATTGTGAATAAGTATAAACTTAGAGGAAACATTTTGAGCTATAATCTTGGTGGTATGGGTTGTAGTGCTGGACTTATCTCCATTGATCTCGCTAAACAGCTTCTTCAGGTAAACTAATTTTCTTAAATTTTATTGATTTGGTTTAATCCGGTTTGGTTTTGACAATTGTTGTTGTTATGACTGAGTCGTCCTGATTTGTGGAAAACCTAAATCATAAGAGTTTTTCTTCTTCCGCGTTATAATATTGAAAAATCTACGTGTAAAAGTCACGTGCCTATGAAAATTCTAACATTGGAAAGCTTTTTGGGTCTTTGGGTAGTTGTGAAAATGGAAAAATCTTTCGGTTGTGTTAATGACCACCGTTTTAGTTTATTTGAAAATATTTAGACCAAAAAAAATAATATATATATTAATCAAAATTCAAAACTATGTTACATTACATACGTAATATACTACATTTATAATGCTTTTTTCTTTTCAAAAATATTGATACATTTACAAACACAATAGTGCATGTATTAGAAATCTAGAAGTGCTGCATAATTATTTACAATCACTTGTTGCAAACATGTATTCGAATGGTAGATCTAAGATTTTTTAGTAAAAAATAATAATCTTTAATGAATATATACACACATACACTTAAGAAGCCAACGTGGTAGCACGTTCGTGCAAGTTCTTAAATCTCTAAAGCTGTTTGGCAAATTGTACCAAAGATCTTAAATGAGCTACAATATAATGTTACTATCTACATACAATTACCTAACAAATGTGACATATGCACACACATACTTTTACATATATAGATTAATACATGTGGTTTTAAGTATCTACCATATATTGGTGTCTAGTCTAATGACTTTCTATGTAGCGATCTTATCATAGCACACAACTAAAAACCATTGTCAGAGTTTTCACATTTTAAATTCACGAATCTTTTTTTTTTACTTATCTACTTTTTTTTTGAGTTTGGCACTAAATTTATCAAATTGTTTCAATAATGCAGGTCCAACCAAACTCATACGCACTAGTAGTGAGCACAGAGAACATAACCCTAAACTGGTACTTAGGCAACGACCGATCAATGCTTCTCTCTAACTGCATCTTCCGTATGGGAGGAGCAGCCGTACTTCTCTCGAACCGTTCCTCCGATCGTAGCCGTTCAAAATATCAGCTCACCCACACCGTCCGTACCCACAAAGGAGCCGACGACAAAGCATTTGGTTGCCTTTACCAAAAAGAAGACAACAACGCAGAAGAAACCAGCAAAATCGGAGTCTCAATCTCCAAAAACCTAATGGTTATAGCCGGAGAAGCTCTCAAAACAAACATCACAACTCTAGGACCACTAGTCCTACCAATGTCCGAACAACTTCTTTTTTTGGCGACCCTTGTGGCCCGAAAAGTCTTCAAAGTCAAGAAAATCAAACCCTACATTCCTGATTTCAAGCTAGCTTTCGAACATTTCTGTATCCATGCAGGAGGTAGAGCCGTACTCGACGAGATAGAGAAGAATTTGGATTTATCCGAGTGGCATATGGAACCATCGAGGATGACTTTGAAACGGTTTGGTAATACTTCGAGTAGCACACTTTGGTATGAGCTTGCGTATAGTGAAGCTAAAGGAAGGATTAAGAGAGGTGATAGGACATGGCAGATTGCTTTCGGTTCGGGGTTTAAGTGTAATAGTGCGGTTTGGAAAGCTTTGAAAACGATTGATCCGGTGGATGAGAAGACGAATCCATGGATCGATGAGATTCATGAGTTTCCTGTTTAAGTTCCTAGGATCACTCCGTTAGAAAATCTCCATTGGTGAGATACCTTTAGAGTATCTCATCAATACAATAC